TAACGTTAATGTCATCCCTCAGTGATTCAGTGAGTACCCACCTGGCACCTACTTTGCGCCAGGCAACAGCCTAAGGATGGGACCCCCAGGCATAGTCCCTGTCCTCAGAGGAGAGAGATCCTCTCCCAGAAAAGAATAGCAGGTCACCTGCCTGGATGCAGAGAGGCCTTGGGCTATGGATCTGATGCCCCCAGGGTGGCAATGGGGGCAGTGGGAGAGGTTTCAGGGCAGATTTGCTAGAGGTTGTCTTGAGGAAGCCTCATGAATTATTCAGCCGGCAGAGGGAGGAGGACAGTCCAGGCAGATAGAGCAGTGGGTGTGAAGGTCGGGAAGCTGGAGAGCTCAGAGCCCATTTCAGGGGGCCACGGGCGTGCAGTGTGGCTGGAGCATGCGTGTGAGGCAGGAATCCGTTGCCATGAGGCTGGAGAGGCTGGGGTGAGGAGACTGAGAGGCCTTCAGGGATCTCCTGAGAGAATTCCAGTCTCTCCTGAGAGCGGTGGGGCCCTCCTGAAGCGTTTATGGAAGCAGAGGAGATTTGTGGGGTTGGAAGAGTCAGGGCAAGGATTGAGTCTACGGCCCCCCCAGCCGGAGTGGACCCTGAGTGGACCCCCTCCTCTCCTTGGTGGGTCTGGCCTCTGCACCCCCACCTGAGGAAAGGGAAAGGCAGGTGACCTTCACTGCTTACACCTTTATTTAGTTCTTTGTTAATGAGTTATTGATTTTTCAAAAGAAAAATGCCCCCAAGCCACGTTGCATCTTTAGCAAAGTGATTCATGACTTGAAGATGGGCCCTGGGCCGCCCCCAATGAGAACTCCGGTTACCAAACGCTGAGAAGGCTCTTTCCACAAGGCGGTCAGTAAACGTGCCTGCTGGGCCAACAAGAACAGCACGCCTGTTGCAGTCACCCCAAGTCCCCTGTTGCAAAGCGGAGGCTCCAGGGATCCATACTGGCATACCCGTGGAGGAGGGGGTGCTCCCTCACCAGGCCCCTGCGCTGTAGGGCATCCTCGCTGCTTTATAGAGGAGGAATTGTGGCCCTGGCAGGCTGAGACTCTTGCCTGGAGGCTCGCGGCAGGGCCTCGCCAGGCCAAGGTTAAGGCCAGGCAGGCTGTGGATTTACCACCGTGATTACAGGAGGTGGCCCTCCTGAAGCCTGACACTCAACAGCCAACAGATGAGCACCTGCTGTATATGCCACCCGGCTGCCGGGACGTGCTGTGGCATCTGGAGAATGGAGACCCTCCAAGAGAGCTACCTCAGCTGACACCTGTCAAATGCTGGGGGAGGGGCAGGGACTTGGCCAGGTCCCACACCCCTGCCTCTGGTTTATCACCTATTGGAGGGGACTCAGCAGCACAGACACAGGCAGGTGTCACCAGGGACAAGAAGAACTGTTGAGAGCAGGGGATGAAGGGAGTCAGGAATGCTTCCTGGACGAAGGACAGATTGAACTTAGGTAGGAAAGCAGGAGACCTTTCTGGCGAGGGGGCTGCCTGGAGAAAGGCGTGGCTGTGGGGAGGGGCCGGGAAGCCAGGCACAGAGCCCGTCTGGGGAAAAGGGAGACTGGGGCTAGAATGTCCGGTGGTGGGGGAGGGCGTGTGAAGGCTCGAGCATTGGGTGGAGGTGGGCACACTTCACCCTACAGACATTTTTTTGCTTCTCTGGCCCATTTCTGTTGGGGAGACCTGCCAGGTCCCAGTTTGTTTAGCAAGGAAAAGAACAAGCATTTTTGGCACACTCAACTGAGTGTCAGTGCTAAGGGCAGCACCTGCGTTGCCTCGTTTGGTCCTCAGAACAGCCCTGGTTTCCCCTCTGTATAAGGAGGGACACCAAAGCTCAGACAGGGCTAGTATTTTGAACCGACATCACACAGCTATAAGCTTCCATTTGCTACAGAGTCACGCTGAGTTTCCCACGTCCTCCATCCTTTGCCTTTCCCAGGAGCCCAATGCGTTGGACCAAAGGAAAGACAGAGATTTCTGATGGAGGTGGGGAGTGGAGGAATATGGGGGATGTCAAGGGGTGGCAGACAGGACTAAGGGGAAAGGAAGGCCAGGTTTGTGCAGGCTCTGGGAGACACCCTTCCCTGGACTGGCTGCAGGGATATCTAGGCATAAAGGGACCATAGTAGCTGGGACACAGCATGAGGGAGTGTGGACAGCTGGGAGTCACATGTCCGCGCAGACTTCCCCCTGCACAGCAAGGCCAATGCAAAGCCATGGGGAGAAGCGGGACTCTCCTTCCCCAAGAGCCAGCCTCAGATCCAGTCCAGCAGCTTGCCCTCCTTAGCTGCAGGTTCCCTAAATGGCTGTGTTTAACCCCCTGGCCTGGCTATGGGGCAGCTCCAAGTGCTCTCTCCTGGGGGGAGGCGGGGAGGGTTACCTATTAGCTGTGAGATCACTCATTACCTGCTTCTGCTCACACTGGGATCTCTCTGAGTCATCAAAGCTTGGAGCTGGCCCCTGGGCATTTGGGGAGCAGGCTCATTTCCCTTGGTTGGGGGAGGACCGGGGATGGGCAGTGAGGCCAGAGGAGGAGTTGGGGAGGCAGAGGGAGAGGTGAGGTTCATGGTGGTGGCTAGGAAAGCCACACACAGTCCGAGGCTGATGGCCACCTCAGTGGCCAAGAGGAAGCAGTTCTGGGGGAAGGGCTAGTGTGGCACAGGAGTGTCCCAGGGGTCCTTGGCCCTGGGAGTCGGCCAGCCCACAAATGAGGTGGTAGGAAGGCCCTTCTGGGGGCTGCTGAGTGTGCGGGGCTCTCTAGCTCTCCGGAGCCAGTGTATTTATCTTCTTCCCAGGCAGGAAGGCCAATGGGCTGGGGCTCCAGGGTGCCAGGCTCAGATGGCTGGTAGGGCAGCTGGATGAAAGCCCAAGCCCACGTGGGCAGCCCGAGGGACCACCGTGAAGCAGGGAAGGGGCCCAGGTAAGAATCTGAGGAGGTGTGGCAGGAGCACTGTCAAGCCCTGAGAGCCGGTGCTTACTGGCTTCCTTAAACTTTGCTCCCTAAGTGCCCTGCTGGCCTCTCACAGTCCCACTGCAGAGTGCTGAACTGGGCCACGAAAGGTTCATGTAGGCACTGGGGCAGCAATGGTCCTCTCCCCGACCCCCATCTGCTGCTGCAGCCTTGGGGACTAACAGGAAGGCACAGTAAGGTGGCTGGGGAATTATTGCCGAGACCCTCTCCACCCGTACACCTGCCTGGTGGGGACATTATGGGCCCATGAGGCATGGGCACCACCCTCTGCAGACCTGGAAGGGAGAAAACTGGCTGTGGGACTCCTAGCTTCCATCCCCAGCCATCTGGTCTTTCCAGTTCTAATCGTAGGTGAGGCCTTAGTCTTCCTGTCTCTTTTTTTTTTTTCTTTTATTTTTTTAAATTATTTAAATATTTTTATTTATTTCTAGGAGAGAGAGAGACAGCGTGAGCAGGGGAGGGTCAGAGAGAGAGGGAGACACAGACTCTGAAATAGGCTCCAGGCTCTGAGCTGGCAGTCAGCACAGAGCCCGACGCGGGGCTCAAACCCATGAACCGCGAGATCATGACCTAAGCGAAAGTCGGACGCTTAACCGACTAAGCCACCCAGGCGCCCCTAGTCTTCCTGTCTCTTAACTGGGGAGAGCTACATCCTTCCTGCTTCTCTCTAGACTAGGGGTGGAGGGGGAAGGAGAAAGGTTCCATAAAGCCTTAAGGTCCTGCCTCTTATTGCCAGGATGGGCCTGCTTTGGTCCCCATACCCAGGAAAATGGGAAGAACCCTCAATATGGGCTCTAAAACAGCTGGCAGAAGAATGAGGCAGGCCATGGGAGTCTTCCAGATACCACTCAACCCTACCCAGTACCCCAGATCTCACCTTTGCCAGATCAGGGTTCCTGACCATGTTTTGGAGGCCCAGTCCATATCTAGACTCCTCATGGAGCACACCTCGCCCCAGGCCAAGGGCCTGTCACCCCTCATGCTGCCATCTCACTGCATGGAAAAGCACTTAGAACCATGTCAGGCACATAGTAAGTGCTCAGTAAAAAGAACTGTTCTCTTTGTAATAATTTCTTGTGGAGCTCAGAAGTGGATTAGTCATAATATCGGGTCCATATCCTAGAGCCAATGTTGGCCCCCTTTAGCTATTCATGATTTAATTTTTTTTTAAAAAATTTATTTGTTTTTGAGAGAGAGAGAGAGAGAGAGAGAGCATGAGCAAGGGAGGGGCAGAGAGAGAGGGAGACATAGAATCTGAAGCAGGCTCCAGGCTCTGAGCTGTCAGCACAGAGCCTGACATGGTGCTCAAACTCACAAACCATGAGATCATGACCTGAGCCAAAGTCACATGCCTAACCGACTAGCCACCCAGGTGCCCCATCATTTAATTTTCAACAATATAATGAACACCCCTTAACTGCCCAGTCTAAGAGACGTTACACTAACACATCTACTTATTCCCCAGTCTCTCTGTCATCTTCCGACCCAGTCTCCAAGAGGGAACCGTTTTCTTGAACTTTGTGTTTATTATTATTAAACAAGAGAAAGACTCCAGGCACCCACAGAGGCAGGATGGCTGCAAAATCTTGAACAGAAATAGCTGTTTCTACCGACCAAGTTGCAACTTCCTGTGGGTAGCATCCGGGTCTCCCCAGTGGGCTGGGCATACAGAGCCGTTGGCAAATTGGGTTGATGGGCTGTTTGGGGTCACAAAAGCAGGGAGGTGAGGACTTGATGCCAGAGAGCAGGTGGGACCCACCTCTAAAACAGGGAGAAGGGCTTTGCTCCCTGCCCCCCTCTACCAGTGGCTTCCGCTCTGCCCTGTGACATCACACAGTGTTGCCCAGGTGACCTAGTGGGCAGACAAGCTCACAGCTTTTCCAGGTCTTGGCAGAGAGAGGGCCACCCTGTCTTTACCTTCCTGGGGGCACTAAGAGCCAATTGTTTCAGCTGCTGACCCCTACCTAGCTGGTCACGGCCCAGAGCCCTGAGGATACCTCCACTCCAAGAATGTCTCACTACTGAGAAAGTTCCAGGCTGCCCCTTACCTGGCCACCTCCCCTCCCCCCACCCCAGTGTCCCCTGTCTATGTCCCAGAGCCAGTGTATGGGGCCCCGGGACAACACTGACGCTCCCTACTGTTTGCCAAGCCCCAAGACTCCAAAGTGCCCAAGCCAGCTGTCTGGGCAGGACCAATGCCTGGTCAGCCACCAATATCAGGTACTGGTCTCCGAGATTGTTAAACAAGGCCAAACACTCCCGGCCCCAAGAGGATGGGACGGAAAAAGAAAAAGGTGAGGTCTAGGGCCATGGGTCATTCACCTGCATGAGCTCATCCCTCCTTCAAAGTGCCTTGTTTTATTTGCTCCTAAATCATGATGAAAGCTTCCCTTATCTGGGCCTCAGTTTTCACAGCCGTGGAATGGAGAGCAAGGTGGCCTCTGTGTGTCCTCCCAAGTTAGGCATGCTGTACCCTGGGGCCACGTGGGGCCTGAAATCCGTGCACTTGCGGGTGTTATCACCCCCTGGCACCCTCACCTGGTTGGTTCTGCCTCGCACCCCCATGACGCAGAGAAAAATGTAGCTTGAATGGGCATAGGACCCCTGCCCCCGCACACCCTGGAAGAGAGTTTTTGCGCTGTTGTCACAAAGGCGCAGAGACCCCACTGAGGTGGCTCAACTGTCACCCTGCAGGGTCTTCTAGGAGATTCCCACACTGCTGCCCTGGGACTGCCAATGCTCCGCTGTCCCTCACCCTTCCAGCCCTGGCCACAGACGCTCTGACTCCTAGAAAGAAGGGACTCTTAATTGGTTTTGAAGACTGCTGTATCCCCAGGATTCAGAACAGTGCCTGACACGTAGTAGGTGCTTTATAAATATCTGTGATAGAACAGCAAGACCTTGCCAGGAGGGGACTAAGATCTCCAAGTGGTGAAATGCAAACAGTTCAATGAGGCCTCCCTTGTCTCCTGCTAACCGGCAGGGCTGAGCCTATGCCTTCTACTGTGCCAAGTACCGAGTGGGATGGCAGAATGAGCTAAGACCAAACGCACCAGGTACTTGCTAACTTGGGAACACCCTCTCTGCTGTTAGACTCAAACCAAAGAGAGCTACAGGTGCCCCACTGTTTCTACTTATCACTCTTGACTTTGATGTCTGGGGTTCCTGGTGTTCTCTACCCATTACCTGGTTCCTCCCCTTGACTCTACCTTCTGCCTTTAAGCTTCTTTCTGGAATGTCACACACTCAGGACAGGGCACCAGGCTGGCCTGACCTAAGAGGCCTTAAGCTGCCAGCTGGTCCTCAAGCTCATTTCCACCTGCCCACTCAAGCTGGATTTGGGGATCCAAGGAGCATTCGTAGGACCCCCGAGAAGGAAATGGGTGTTTTATTTATTTATCTTAATGTTTATTTATTTATTTATTTATTTATTTATTTAGAGAGAGAGAGTGTGTGTGTGTGTGTGTGTGTGTGTGTGTGAAGCAGGGGAGGGGAGAGCAGAGAGAGAGGGAGAGAGAACCCCAAGCAGGTTCCACACTGTCAGCGCAGAGCCCAACGCGGGGTTTGAACTCACACACCGTGAGATCATGACCTGAGCCAAAATCAAGAGCGAGACGCTTAACTGACTGAGCCACCCAGTTGCCCTGGTTTCGTTTTATTTAATTCATAATTTTGTGGAACATTTTTAATGACTGGGTAGAATATACTATACAAATGATCATATTGTGTATATATAGTGTTACATATTCATATTTCCTCTTCTGTGAAGCCTCCATTCATGTCTTTTTTATTGTGGTGATGCTTACAGATCTCTGTGTATCAGGGATATTCATCCCTTTATATATATTGCAAATATTTTCTATCTGTCTTTTATTTGGATTGCAGTGAACTGGGGGCTATTATAGAAGTCAGTGTGGATTGTTAATGTAATCCAAACGATCAATCATTTCTTTATGTTTGACTTTTGCGGCATCTTTGGAAGAGTGTTTCCTTGTCCAAAGGCTACAACCCTCATGGCTAGTACTAACTAACAAGTACTGGCGACTTGGGTCATGAGTCCGAGGGCATATACGTCATGGCCCAGAGAGAGCTCGGCACGTCCGGAAAACACTAGAAGGGCAGAGCAGAGACCTCACAATGTGGAGACATAGATCCGCCCCACTTCCACTCTGCCTGCCAGCAAAGCCTAGAGCCCAAACACAAGGGCTTTTGTCTCCATGAGCCTGTTTTCCCACTAAGAGTGGGCCCTCCGGTGGCCACTATAACTCCCAAGCAAGTTTAGATGCTGAAACTAGAAGGAACATGAAGGACCATTTTTTAACTCAAAGCCCGTAAGATACAGCTGGGGAAACTGAAGTGGGATGAGGGGGGAACATTGGTCCTGATGCAGGCCCATCTCTGAGGGAAGCCTGCAGACTGTCATCCACATGTAGGAAGGAAGGAAGGGGAAGGCCGAGGTTGGCCCACAGTTCCCGCTCCAGGTGTCCCACTTGGGCCAAGCCTCCCTGGCCCTGGGCCCAGCCTGCCCAGCGGGCACATGCGTGCGGGCCTCACCAGGAGGCGCCAGCCTGGCAGCTGGCCTCATGCCCAGAGGTGAAGCATGAGCAGTTTCTGTCCAACCCCCTGGAAGCTGTATTTCCCAGAAGACTGTCCCACAAGGGGAGGCACAGAGGGAGGAGGGGACAGAGAGAGGGCACACCTCGCAGGCCTGGTCTGCAGAATCACTGTTGGGCTGTTAGACTACCAGCTGCTATGCTGCTGGGCCCCCACTTCTGGGGCCGTAGGAGGCTGGGGAAAGGCCCTGCACCCCACAGAAACAAAGGGGATGGGGCGGCCATCTTGGGCTGCTTCTAGGATCAGGGCGATGGAGAGACACATTAGTCACCTCTTCTGACCTCCCTGCAGAACCTTAGGCCTATTATAGGGAAGACTGAATTACAAACCACTCTGGATATCCCCATTGACCAGGTGGGAAAAGAAAGACCCCACTGGGAGTTAGGGCAGAGCCAGCCCAAAATCTATATTTCTGGACACTCCGGGTGGCTGGTCTTGCTCCCATAGCACCAAAGCAGGAGACTAACCCTGCTGGAGAGTGGAGTGGGTTATGGGAGGCATACGGTGAATGTGGAACACCAGGAGGCAGCATCTCTGACCTACGGGGGTGGGGGGGGTGACATTGAGCCTGCTTCCCCCTCCCCATCCCCCTCCTTTTAGTAGGGGTTCTTTCTGCACACTGACCTCCCTCCCCTCCTCCCACCGTAGCCTGGCAGAACAGGGGAGGGGGGAAGGGTAACTCTTAACACCTCTGCAGATGGTGAGAGGCCCCCCTGGGCCCTGCGGAGGGGGCATTCCTCAGGCAGAAGGAGGGGTCTAGCTGTAGGACTGGCACTTCTGGGGCTGGAGGGTTCTCACCTCCTAATTAGTCATCTTGTTAGTCAAAGACCACAGACTGTACCAAGAAGGCCTTTCTGATAACATCAGATCTGTAGGAGGTGGGGGAGCAAGCCCCAGGGACACGGGGATGGACGGACAGCAGAAGAGGGACCTGCCCAGACAACGGCTTGAAAGCAGGAGCCCGCTTGGGATGTGCCCAGAGGCCAGAATGGCTGGAGCCAGAGGGCATGAGGCAAGGTCGCTTTCCCAGGCCAGTGTGTGTACGTCCTGACAGGCCAGGGAAGCTCTGAATGAAACAGGGAGCCACTGTTTTGAGCAGTGGACAGATCTGGTCTGATTGAAATCTGCGAAGGATCACTCTGGCTGCTGTGTGCAATGGGCAGGGTGGAGGAAGCACCAGAAAGGAAACAGAAGTGCAGAAGGGGTCAGATTCTAGACATGGTTTCATGGGGTTTTTTTTAATGTTTATTTTTGAGAGAGAGAGTGTGAGAGTCCGTGTGAGTGGAGGAGAGGCAGAGAGAGAGGGAGACAGAGGATCCTAAGCAGGTTCCCTGCTGTCAGTGCAGAGCCAGATATGGGGCTCGAACTCATGAACCCTGAGATCATGACTCGAGCCAAAGTTGGACACTTAGCTGACTGAGCCACCTAGAGGCCCGCTAAACATGGCGTGAAGACAGAGGGCTCATGGAATGTTCACCCCACCACGATTATCAGAACTGAATGAATTAAGAGGCATCAAAGTCCGCAGGCCCTTCCTTCTGCTCTGCCCAGAGGCTTCTGAGAGCCAGGAGCCACCGTGCCCAGAACCCCCAGGCTCAAGGTGGGAGCAGACAATGTATGGGGACCCTGGGGCCTCACGTGGGAAGCAGGGCAGTTTCCAGACAGGCTGGTCCACACCCATGTTGTCCCGTTGGGGAAACTGACTCTTGGCACCTGACGGGCTTTCAGGCTCATGGTGGTGAGGAGAGAGCTGCTTTAAACCTAGCTCGGCCGACACTCGGTGCTCATCAGGACTGAGCCAGGGGATCGGCCTGCCTGGGCTGCTGCCAGCACCACAGCCCACCCAGAGCCAGGCCATTACTCCTCTCCTGGCCTGTCTGCCCTCCACATAACAGGACACTGTTCTCTGTCTCCACAGACACTTCCCTCTTTGAGGACCCCTCCCCCCCCCAACCAGAGCCTGCCCTGGAACGCAGGTTCTGACAGACTGAATTTGCTATTTTTTTTTCACATTTATTTATTTTTGAGAGAGAGAGGGAACAAAAGCAGGGGAGGGGCAGACATATGGAGAGAGACAGAATCTGAAGCAGGCTCCAAGCTCTGAGCTATCAGTGCAGAGCCTGACCCGGGGCTTGAACTCACAACCTGTGAGATCATGACCGGAGGCAAAGTCAGATGCTTAAACAACTGACCCACCCAGATGCCTCATTCACACTTTCGAGATAAAGGGCAGCCCTCAGTGACTCCTCAGGGCCCCATCTCCATGCTGAGGAGGCCAGGGGCCTTCCGTGACTCCTCACATCAGCTAGTACTGATTAAGTGGCTAGATAGACAAGGATGGGGGTAGCCTCCTGGCAGGTGGGGCCTACCAAGGGTAAATCCTGGGTCAGTGGTGTCAACTCCAGGCACCGAGAATGAGAGTCAGCCAGCCAGTGCAAAGGAAGACCAGGACACCCCAAGCCACAGCAGCCACATGTCCACACCCCTCCCCAACCCACAATGTTCACTAAATACCGTTGGCTCCGCCACCCTCTCTGACTTCTCTTGCCTCCGGGGTCCACATGAGCCTGGCCCAAGCTACAGGAAGCTCCCCATTTTGCTCCAACTTCCGACTCATCTTTCCAGCCCATCCTTCCAGCCATGCATGTCTTCCTAACCCTTCAAGTCCTCCTCTTCCCAGCAGCCTTCCCTGATTGCCCGGCCACTGCTTCTGTCTCCTCTCAGCAGCTCTCAATACCATGGTCCTTCAGGCCCTGAGTCACAAGCTGATGAGCTTGTGTGTGTCCTGCATGTGTGTCCGCTTGGAACAGCCAGCCTAGGGGGCGCCATGTGCAGGCCGGTGCCCCTCCTTCCTAGTCTGCAGGGTTCTCTGGGTAGAATGCTGAGGAGCATCTGGGACAGCCACGTTCATCCCCTTTTCATTAATGCCTTGGGTGACTCCATGGATGTGGATAAACTTTGTAAACTGTAAAAGGCTGTGCACGGGAAGGACCCAAGGTGACAAGTGGACTGGGCTGAGGCTACAGGAGAGACCGAGGGAGAAGGCCAGCTGCCAGGACCTCAAAAGCAAGCGGAATTTAGGAATTAGAGGCAAGGGCACCCGCAAAAGCAAAGGTTTTAGCGGCGAGAGTGGACTTGAGAGATGAGGGCCTGTCTCCCTCTGCAGGAAGCGATTGGGGACTGGGGCAGACGTGGGGTGTGGAACGGAGGTAGGGAGAAGATGGGATCAAAGGCAAGTGCCCTGTAGTTCCAAACTGGGCAGGGGGAGTTGGGGGGGGGGGGGATGACAGAGGGAAAGGCACTTGGAGGGGAGGAGAGCAGTGAGGGGCTGGAGTTCTAAGAAGGCGGTAAGGGCAGAGGACCACCGGGAGGAGGCCACTCAGCCCTGGCTCTCTCCACAGGTCACTGAGAGCCCAGAGGAGCCCCTGAACACCGTACAGAGTGTGGAATCTGTCACCAGCCACCTGTCTCCCCCTAATAAGGAGACCATCATGATCACTCTCCACGGAGCCACCAACCTGCCCACCTGCAAGGATGGCTCTGAGCCATGGCCCTATGTGGTCGTGTAAGTGGTGCTGGGAGTTGGGGGCAGGGGCTGGTGCCGGCTGTGAGCAGAAACCAGTCGCTGGATTTTTGGAATTGAGCAACCAAAGGTTGGGGGCGGGACCGTGATACCCAGAGGCGAAAGTCTAGTGTGAGTCACACAGAGGCTGTAGGCTCTCTACGTGTGAGGCCTGACATCTTCCCTGCGGCGTGGGAAACAGTTCACCGGCCCTGGGGAAGGAAGGAAGAGCCACTCCTTGATCCCGTAGTCAGCAGGACACAGCCTGGCCACAGTTTGACCTCAGGGAGGCAGGGCCCCTGGAGACAGAGACCTGGGCTGGGCTCAGAGTGGGGTGGTGGTCAAAGGAAGAAGGCCTGAGCCTGCCTCTCCAGGACTCTGGGTGCCCGATCCCCCCACGCCCTGTTCTGGGGTAGGTCCCACAGCCATCTTCCTCTTTGCCGCCACCACCCCTACTTCTAGGGTCATTTCTATCTTAGGGGCTTCCCCAGTTCTGGCCCTTTAATGCACCCCACATCCCCTGTCACCACCTGCAGTGAGGCTGCACACTTCCCACAGCCTAGTGGCCGAGCAAGGCCTGCCATGCTGTCTGCTGCCCACGTCATGGGACTCACTTCTCCCAGAAGGGCATCAAGGGGTGACTGAGTGTCCATCCAGCCAATCTATGGTACGGATGTCGGACATCCGTTTAATCCTAGTTGTAAAGCACTGCACCGTAACCCCTCCGACAGGCTTGTCGTCCCTGAGCCCCTCTGTAAACAGTGGGAGCCACAGGGCCTTCCCACAAACCACTCTACACCTCCCCTCCTCTACTAATTCCAGCAGCATTCAACGCCTGCCTCAGGCTCTTGCCCACATTTCCTTTTGGGGAGCTCCTGCCCCAGCCTTCTCCCAACACCGGCTGAAATCCCGTCTTCAAAGCCTTATTTATGACTACCTCCTCCTCCAGGTAGCCACCAAGAGTTGACCTCTCCCCTCTGGAGCTGCACAGCGGTGGCAACTCGGATCTGACACACTTCACATAAACACAATTATGGGCTGCTCTTCTGTTCCCCAAACTGGGGCTCCAGAGGACAGATGCCGCGCTGTCCATTTCCCCCACAACGCGCCCAGCCTAGGCCCGAGCACACAGACTCGCCGATCAAGGAGCCAGAGACAGCCGGCCAGTAACTATGACAACAACCCCACACAGGTGAAAGGAGGGTAGATGGTGTGCTGGAGACCAACAGGTGGAACACTTGCTTGTCTCAAAAGGCCCATTTCCACCCACCCACCCGGCTCCTCGGCCCTCCCCTCCCCCAACTCCATTTCCGCCGCTGTGAGGAGGGACAGGTGGCAGAGCGTGGGCTTGGCAGGGAGCTCGCCTTTTCCCCTCAGCTATTTCCATAAACCAATTATCGCCGATCATCTCGGGAGATTGAGGCCCTGCCTATCACCAAGCCAGCCCGGGCGGCGGGGCGGGGAGCGGGGGCGGGGGGGCGGGGGGCGCCGCATTGCTCCGCGGCTGGCACCGCGACCCTCGCCTTCACCCGGTTGCCATGGGAACGCGCGGCGGGAGCCAAGCCGGCCGGAGCCTGGGTGAGAGGTGTGGGGGCGGCGGGGAGAGCGCATGGCTGCACCCATCTCCACTCAGGGAGGGGGCTGGGAGCGGAGCCCGGCCGAGCCTGCGGCTCGCGTTTCAGGACCTTCCAGGGCTCCAGGCGGCGGAGCTGCCACCAGCCCCAGGGGTGCTAATGAGATGCAAATGACGGCAGAAGGGAGGGCTTCTGAGAAGGAAGGCCCAGCTGTCAGGGACCTGAAAGCGGCTTTCACAGCGAGCCCCCAGCCCCAGGCAGAACCCCAAAGGGAGGATCCTTACCTTAGAAGCCAGAAGCCCTGGGCAGGATCTGGTGCGCCCTGGATGTCCCACATACACCATTAACAATGCAGACCACAGGCAAGATAAGCCAGCCCCCCCCCCCCACCTCCACCCAGTTCTCCTTCCCCTCAATGCTTCAGTAATATATAATATAGATTTAATATTTATTAATAATATTGATCTTTCATATTCTTTCAAAACACTTTCTCTCATTGTTCTCGTGCCTCAGCTTGGGTTCCTGGCTGAGCCTCCGGCTCTCTGCCATCCTTAGGTGTTTCACCCCAGGGGGGCTTCCTATCCCTGCCTAGTTCCACCCTCTCTCTGGGTCTGTCACATCCCCGGCAGGCCGGCCTGTGGGGACAATGGTGCAGTAGGAGTTAAAGCATAGACCTACAAGTAACCCTAGAGCCATTTACTCATTCAGCCCATTAGTGGGGAGCTGAAGAGAGTTCAGGTCTGATGATGGGGACTCCCTAGCTGGGGGCGTGGTCACTTTACTCCTGTGCAGGCTCCAGCCTTGAGCTGGTCTAGTGTGATAGGGCACACCTCGTTGTGACGGACCCAGACCAAGAAGTCCGCGTAGCCCATCCGTGGTTCCACCTCTTTCCATCAGAGCCATTGCCTGCTTCCAAGCTGACCCCACTACTCCGCTGAAATAGCTTTCTCTAAAGCGAATGGCCATGCTTGACCCTATCACGTCCGCTGGGCGTCTCATCTTGCGAGATGCTGGCCTGTCCCAGGTTTCAACCCTCGGTCACTCCTCTTCCTCTGTACTGTCTGCATAACATCCTCATCCTGCTGTCAGTAATCATGTTCTTTCACCCCCCACCCTCTCCCTCACCCCATCCCCGAGTCCTGTCAATGTCTCTCCTGTATCTGAAATCTGGCTGCTTCTCTCTGCCAGTCCCCCACCTTAGGCTTCTGCACTGTTCTCTTCTTCGCACATCTGATCTTGCCCCGCTTCAAACCCCAAGGGTTCTCATTGCTCCCAGAGTAAAGAGGATTCCAGTCCCAGCATGGTTGGGTCATTGCCCGCCCCTCCCGCTCCGCAGCAACATGGCTCCCATCTCCCTTTCTTCACTCCTGCCTTACCTCATGTCTCAGTTCTCTGAGCAGACCCTGTTCCCTCCCACCCTAGGCCTTTCATGATCCCTCCCCCAGAACGTTCTCCCTTCCTCTCCCCTCTTTGGATACCAGCTAAGTCACCTCCTCAAGGAGATCCTCCCTGACTTCCCAGAACCAGGCCAAAGTTTCCTACATTCCACGCCTCCCTGGGACTTTTTACTTCTGCAGTGTCACAGCTGGTTTTCACACATTTGATGTGCTTTTATGGGATTCCTGGCTTACTCTTCCTTGCACCTACCCCCATAGTTCCACAAGTGACCGCTGGGTCTGTTTTTGCTCCCCATTTGATCCCTACTATTTAGCTCAGCACCCGGAGCATAGAAAGCTGTCAATTAACTAATTGTTGAACGAATTCGGCTGTTTCCAGCTTGCTCTGTGACTTTGGGAAGGTTTCTTGTCCTCTCATTGCTCAAATAACCTCACCTAGGAAGCCGCCTCAGAGGGCCGTAGAGATGGTGGAGCCAGTGGGAGATGCTGACAGGTGTAAAGGATGACAGAGAGTAAAGTGCCCACAGTAGGGCATGCAAGGTCTATCAGAAGAAGGCCTCAGGCAGAAAAAAGCCAGAATGGGGTCAGGAAAATCCAGGATCTGGCCCACTGCCCCTGACAGGGAGTCCCCGCCCCCTCTGGGTCTTAGTCTTCTGGTGGCCAGGATGTCCATTCTGGTCTCTATGCTGTTCCAGGCTTGCCAAGCTGATGTGTGCCCTGGCCTGGGGAATAGTGTCTCTTCTTAAGGGACAACAAGAACCCCAGCTGTACATGCAAGACAGATTCCAAGCCCAGGTCTGCTGGGCCAGGACCTGGGCCCTGGGCCACCCCTGACCGATCTGGGCCCAAGCAGTGCCCAACACCTGTCTCTTGGCCTGGCATGGAGAGACCTGCCAGTCAGAGCACAGCAGGGACCAGGAAGGCAGTGGCCCTGACAGGTAGGGGGTGCCCCAGCAGGCAGGGTTTGGGGAAGGGGCCAGCCAGGGGACATCCTGTGGGGTCCTGACCCTTGGCCAGAGGATTGGTGGCCAGGCTGCCAGCTGGCAGCTGTTTCTCTGACTGCCTGCTGCCCAGAGCTTATGAACAGGGCTGGAGCCAGGACCGGGAGGGGAAGGGCTGCTTCCTCTGTGCACATGGGGGAAGGCTTGGCCTGAGCCATGGGGAGGGAGGGGGAGCAGAGCACAGATCAGAGCTGGTGAGTCCTATTCAGAGGATCTTTGGTTTTCTTGGGCCTGAGAGTCCTGACCCTGGTCCCAGACTGAGACTGACCTTGGTCATACACTGAGCCCTGACTCTGGCCATAGACTGAGCCCTAATCACATACCAAGCCCCTACCCTGGCCACAAACTGAGCTCTGAACCCTAGTGACTAATTGAAGAAAGTATTGAAAGTATGACAATTGTGTCAGGTCCTGGTAAGAGAAGGTTAAAGGGCACATTTACCAAGTGCCTACCATGTACTTGGCAACTATGCAAGGAGTGCATGCGTTCATCTGTGTGTGTGTGTGTGTGTGTGTGTGTATGCATGTGTGCATATGTGTATGTGGTCTGTATGTGCTTCACATAATTTAATCATTGCTTAGCCCTTTGAGCTAGGTAAAATGTTATCTCCATCTTACAGATGAGGTCACTAAAGTCTCAGTGAATCTCTGTGACTTGGCCAGAGTCACAGAACTAGTGCACACCCAAGCCAGGATGCAGGATTCCAAAATCGAAAAGCTTTTTCAACCACACTCCCTGACTTGATCTTCATGCAGTGGCTGTCCCTCCTAGAGGGACACTGCTGGCATCAGGGTCCTAGCCCGGACCTCCGGAGAAGATCCAGTGAGCCGTCTGAAGAGCCCCCCTGGCATCTGGATTGTCCATCCCTTCCCCCCGCCTGGCTGTGGGCCTTGGCCAAGGGCTCCAGAGGGCAGAGGTTTGGGCAGAGTGGGTGGAGGCCTGTAATGACTCATAGGTGACCTGTGAGCTTGTCTCAGCAGCCAGAGGGCTGGGCTCAGCAAAAATAATGAAAATACACACAGTGACGTGAG